CCTTGTGTCCGGTGTCCGGGCTGAGCTCCATGGGTGCCGTCACCTCCGGGGCTCCTTGTGGCCGGTGTCCGGGCTGAGCTCCGCGGGTGCCGTCACCTCCGGAGCTCCCTTGTGTCCGGGCTGAGCTCCGCGGGTGCCGTCACCTCCGGGGCTCCTTGTGTCCGGTGTCCGGGCTGAGCTCCACGGGTGCCGTCACCTCCGGGCTCCCTTGTGTCCGGTGTCCGGGCTGAGCTCCGCGGGTGCCGTCACCTCCAGGGCTCCTTGTGTTCGGTGTCCGGGCTGAGCTCCGCGGGTGCCGTCACCTCCGGGGCTCCCTTGTGTCCGGTGTCCGGGCTGAGCTCCACGGGTGCCGTCACCTCCGGGGCACCCTCGGGGCCGGTGTCCGGGCTGAGCTCCATGGGTGCCATCACCGGAGCATGTGGAGGCACCCGTTTGCGCAGTATTCCCGGGACACGTGGCCTCATGCAGCGGGCGAGAGGAGGCTCCCGGGAGCGGGCATGGATCGGAGGCCCGGAATCAAACCCATAAACAGCCTCCTTGATGGTGTCGGCAGGACTGGTGGATTAATAGCCTCCCGCTAATGTGCTCTCCGCTTCCTGCAGGGCCTCGCTTCCTGCTTTGGGATATGTGCCATAAATCACCTGGAGGAAACGCTCGCCAAGCTCGAGGACTTTGTTAGGTCTGATATCTTCAGGAAATCCGTGGGGCTCTTCAGCATCTTCAAGGTAAGAGCCCTGCCGGGGCGCAGCCCGGGGGGCTTCCAGGGCTGCCCTCCGGCACGGGCTCCGCTTGGCACCCCCTTGGCCGCTGCCCAGAGCTGTCAGTGCCAGCCCGGCCTGGGCTCCTGCTGCCTCGAGGTGCTCACGCGTGGCACCGTTTGGCTGCCGCTCGCGCTGCCGTTTCGCCCTCAGCCCCTCGTGCCCACGGCAGCCTTGGCACAGGGAGGGTTTCATGCCCATGGTGTTGGCAGCCAGAGCCTCTCCTCGACCTCTCCGCGTGCTTGGCTTAGTTCCCAGCTGCCAAAACAGGGATCACGAAGGGCAGGATTAGCGCCGAGTGCCCTTGCGGGGCTGCCATGCCCGGCTTGCGGCACGTGCTCGCCCCGCTTGCAGCATGCATGCATGCAGCCCGTCCTGAGCGCGCTGGCAGCAGGCAGGGTGCCCGCCCAGCGAGCCGGGAATGCGGGAGCTGTGCATGCAGCGCATGCCCGGTGCTGCATCGGGCCCCGTCCGCAGGAGCGCAGCGACCCCGAGGTGGAGAAGATGAAGAGCGCGCTCATCCTGTGCTACGGCTCCGTGGCCCTGCACGCGCCCAAGGAGCTCGTGCTCGCCAGGATGGAGGCCGACATCCTGAGGAACGTCTTCCAGTACTTCAACACCAAGGTAGGCTGCGGGAGCCACCCCGACCGCACGCGCCGGGCGAGCCGGAGCAGCCGGCGCCGCCGGAAGCGCCGGGCTGGGAGCTGGGATAGGCCCCGGGAGGAATTCATTCTCCGCAGCCCTTCCCACCCCTGCACCGCTAATGCCTTGTTTTTTTTCCACTTGTTCAGGTTCTGGGCATAAAGGTAGAAACCAAGGTACAGTGTGAGGCATTCCCTGCGAACTGCTCTGCTCTTTCCTCCTCTTCCTCTCTGCCTCTCGCTCCAGACGCC